AGCCTAAAATGTTTATTCTCCGTTCCTTTTTAGAAAAGTTTGTTGACCCCTGATTCAGAGAATTTTGCATTCTTTTTAAAAAATGTACCAGAAAAGGCAGGTACATTTTTAGGTGGTGGCATATACATGTGGCATATAATGTTTGGTTGTCTGCTTTTTTGTTAATAGTACCTATTGATGACCATTGCTTTTTTAGTACTTTCCATTGATTATACCTACATTTTTGGAAGATATTTTTTTGCCAAATAATTTTAGATTGGAGTTTTTATTTCATTGCCTTTTGGTGTCTATTGTTTGTGATTTATTGTCAACTGTAAAACTAATGGCCTTTTGAAGATAATCTGACCCCTTATGCTCCTCACTTCTACTTGCTGAATGTTTTTGAAATTTTTTTGTTTTTGGTTTTCATCAGAAATATGATGTATGTAAGAATTTTTTTTTTTTTTTAATCTTGCTTTAAGTTTATAGGGCTTCTGTATCTGAGGTTTAGGGCCCTTTGTTAGTATGGCAAAATGCTTATCCATATACTTTTTCTTTTCTACCCCAGTCTCATTTCTTCTTCTGAGGTTACATATATTTTTATATCAAAGGTTATATTCTGTGCCATATTAGAGTTTTTAGGTTTTTTTCATTTTAATTTTTCATACCTTGGTCATCCTGAATTTAAGAGGGATATTTTCTTCACTTTAAAAAAATTATTTTGCTGTGTCTAATCTGCTATCAAGCCCCCCCTTGAGTTTCTTAATTTAATTATTGAGTGTTTTAGTTCTGTTATTTATTCAGTTCATTGTTAAAGTTCTTAGTTCTCTGCCAGAATTCTCCATCTTGTCATTATCATTTATTTCAGTTTCTGGTAATTCTTTTATTTGATTCTCCTTTGGGTCTGTTTCTAATGTTAGTTTTTCTCTTGATTTTTTGATCATTTATTGTTTGCTTGAATGTCTGCTTATTTTTCATTGGTGCCAAAAATTGAATGTGGAAAACATTGGAGATAGTTTGAGGCTCCAAGTGAAACCTAAAGTGTTCTAGAAACCTAAAGTATTTTTTTTGGCATACCAGGGATTGAACTGAGGAGCACTTGGCCATTGAGCCACATCTCCAACCCTATTTTGTATTTT